CAGTAAATCCGATTATCCCTTTCCTCCACCTGGCTGGAGGCAGGGCCCCTCTAATCCTGCTCATCATCACTCACTTCTTGTAAGAATGATTTACTGGTGCCCTCAAGAGTGTCACACATAACGTTGGCCATTCTATTCTGTCTGGGGGATTTCTGACTGGACACTGGAGCTGCGCTCTTCTTGGAGGACTCCCCTTTTGTGATGGTCTTCCCTTTCAGCTGCTCTACTCGTGCAGCTAGGGCGGCAGTGGGCTGTCCATCCCACCTCCTCATGTTTTCTCCATGGTCGCGGAGGAAAAACCACAGGGTGCCTCATGGTGTGTGCCTTCTACTACCTTTCTCTTGGGTGGGGAAATGTTTACTTCTAATGGCTGAGACATCAGCCCGTGCAGGTGGAACGTAGGACATGTCCTCTTCCATTTTCTGGACCCTCTGAGACAGTTCCTCCACAGCTGAGACCCAGGAATGTTGAGATGAAGGAAGATTTCCCTCATATTGCCGGAGCTTGCCAACCACTCCATCCACTGTTAGAGTGTGGGTGTCTGTCCACCAGGACGCTATTGCCAATGCTTTCGAGTGTGCTTCTGGTGCGCTCTTCAGGAACTTTCGCCACATCAGGTGTGTGCAAGGGGCCTGATCTGAGTCCATGGGTGACTGCTAATCATTCAGATCACCATAGATCATGTCAAACACAGCCAGTTCCCTGAGATTCTGAATGCCTTTCTCAGTGGTGGTTCATTTGCTCAGCTGACATAGGATATCATCCTTGTAGGGGTGCCTCTCCTTCACACAGAGCAGGAGTCACTTCCAAAGGCTGAGGGTTTGAGTCTGTCTCCCTATTCCCTATCAATGCCAGCATCCTTGGCCAAAGATCCCAGGTTTAACTATATGTGAATGTATTGTGTATCATTGCAGTAATTTCAGGAGTCTGCTGTTTGCTTGGGGTTTCTTAACATCACAAATTCACAGCAGCTTTTGGTCATAAAGTATATCTTGGATACTGTTGATTTAAAAAGCTGAAAAGTGGTGGAATTTAGTTTTATTAACCACTTGGAAATATCCATATTGAATTATTTAAAAACTTATTATTTTTCAAAACAGTATTGTATGCATTAATTGTCTATTTTAAATTGTTTCAAAATTGGCTATTGATTTGCCAGTCTAGTGCTGTCAAAAGCAGACTCATGCATATTCTCTTTGGCTTGCTCAGTTCTGCTTCATAAAAGGTATGCATAAAGGTGAATTTTAAATCAAAGTGTTTTGCTCTGTGTCTTTGGGAGCAGATCAACCTATGTGAACAGTTTATTTCTCACCAATTTCTTTTTTGTACTTCAACCAGGAAATAATGTCTCATCCCTTAATTGTATCTCAGTTGTGTTTGTGCCACCCATGTTTGGCGATCTTTTATATGTCTGACATCTTCAGAAGTCTAATTGCTTTATTGATTCTCATTGTAGCAATCCCCTGGCTTTACCGATTGCCAAGCAGGACAGTTTGCTGGAGAAAGACACCATGTTTAAGGATGCAGCTAAAGGCTTATGTAAGCAGCAATCTCAAGACAGTGCATCTGAAAATGTCACTGTGAACACTGCAACCAAACTTGAACAGGTAACGGCTTGCAGTTTCTTGAAACTTTTCTTCTTTGTTAGTGCTTCAGTCTGGAAATTGTAAACTTAATGAAGCCGAAGACCACAGTAAGTTGTTTTCCCTTACCACACAGCAGTATCATTTGCACTGGGGAGCCTTGTCTCCCCGATCACTCCCTGCAATCAGTCTGGCCCTGTGAAGAGTTCCCTCTCTGCAAATTGAACAGCTGCTTCCTGCCAGCTACTGGTGGCAGGGCAGGGGCTGTGGCAGCCAGGGGCCTCAGAGCTCCTCAACCTCTACTCATGGTTCACAGCAGGGGAGGGACAACTGTTAGCACAGTTTTACAAAGGAAAGAAACACAACCTGGGAGACTGCAAAAACAAAAAGAATGTCTAAGGAATGTTAAGTTGCAAAATTAGTGACTGTAATTTGAAAATAGGAATTGCCAGATTTACAGCCGCGGTGTTAACTCCCTTTCTTGTGCTAATGCATTAGGATACAGGCACTGATTATTTGGATACCCTTTACAGTTTTCTCCACAGGATCACCATCTCATTCAGTTTGTAGAGTGAATGCAAAAGGAGAAGTTATCTGTTAGCATGTCCTAACTTTGAATGTTTAGGACTTAAATATTGTTTGGGTTGGTTTTTGGTGTTTTTTTTTTTTTTTTTACTATGGTTTTATTTTCTGTTACATGCATTTGGGAAACACATATTTGAGAAGCCATTTAAGAAAAACCTACTTTAGAATTGGGGTGGGTGGAGGGTAGAATTTCCAATTAGGATAATTTACTGTGAATCTGAAGCATAACAAATGAGCAAGATACTGATTACATTTAAACCATGTTCAGTTCAAAAAAACTGCACAACTGCCTTGGCATGCACACTCTGCTGCTTTTTTTTTTTAAACGTGTTTCAAAGGAATGTGTTGATCGTATGAGATCAATCAGTGAGTGCATATGTCAGTCATACAAGTCCATTTCTGAAAGTCCTCAGCTTTGGAATCCCATAGAGCACTCAGTTCTCTGTTCAGTTAGAAGAATGTTTTGCACTTGGCTTACATCTTGTTTTCATGTCATACAATTTCTGGCCTTGCTGACTGTGCAGTGATGTGATGAAAACATATTCTATTCAAAAGAGAACGACCCTTGGTCAGAAAAGTAAATGCTTGCAACCCCTTTAGGAGGCACCCTCCTATAATTGTAAGAAAAGAGAGGGAGGTGTTTAGCCTAGGGTCTTGCTGAGACTATTGCTTGCTTCTAGATGTTTAACAGAAGTGTGGACAAGAACTTATTTACCTCCTTCTGCTTGATCCTGTTTTGGTGCAGACCTAGCTAATATTATTCAGGTTTTCTCTATCTCTATCTCTAGGCTATGCTTTTGCTTTATAGTTTGTGCAGTAAAACATATGCAAAAACTGATGGGAAGAAGAACAGCCAATCTTCCAGGTGAGAAAGAGAAACCAGAAATCTTCATGCTGGCAGTTTTGTCCTCCACCATGAATCACTTCAGGGTCCCAGGGCAGATTTTCAAAACTTCCCTTCTCCTGCTGTTTCATCATATTTCATAACTTCCCGCAACAGTTACAATTCAAAGACCAGACAGCACAAATAAAGGTGAATCTCTTTTATCTCCATTAGCTAAGAAATTTCAGCAGAAAACACTCTGTGAAATTCTTCGTTAAACACACCAGAAGGAACGTGTATCTGTGGTCTTTTAGAAGCAATAAAAAATACAAAATTTGCTCAGTATCTGCAGTTGCTGAATAAAGAGTGATACTCCCTTGGAAAAGAATAAGCAGGAACAGTCCTATCTGGGAAATCAACACTAGTAGGGGATAGGTTAGAAACCGTGCTATTTCAGTGTGGTTTTGAAAGACCGGTTGCATTTTAAAAAAATCATAGATTAACAAATTTTTTCAGTTGGCAAAGACTTAATGAGCTTCAGCTCTTACGGACAAAAGATAATAAAAGAGTTTAATCACTTCAGGAAATAGTTTCATTTTAGGAAACTAAACAATTTCCATATTTTGTCAAATGAAAATATGTGCTTTTTTCTTTAAGTGAGATAATTGTGATCCTGGAAATAGGGGGATTGTATTCTATACTACTTGCTATGCATTATGAACATAGGTATATGTATATCTTATTCATATTTGTGTGTATAATATGTAGGCCTTCATTTTCAGAGATGATATTTGCAACTAACACATTTTAAAAAAAAAAAATATTCCACAACTTGGGAAGTGGAATTTTTATTTAGTGCTCTTACCAAAGGAAAGCTTTGAACAACTCCTTCCCACTATTTCTGCCTCTTGGATATACTAATTCTAATGAATTTCACTATCTTTTCATTTTACCAGTTGCATTCCAAGCTACACTCAAAGTAAGCATGTCCTGTTTAATGTTTCAATAGGATATGTGGACTCATTACTTGGCTTTTATGTTCATATATTATTGAAATGGATCAGCGTGATGTTTTGTATGATTTGTGTCAGAAATATCATACATTCTTAGGAAATATGGCATGCAGATTAGACCTTTATTGGGGGATCAGAGAGAAAAATTTCATTTTATTACATCTGAAACATATATTTTTAATAGAGAATGCTCGCAACTTTTTTGGCTTTGAAAAAACTAGCAGCTCAAATTTGTATGTAAACTCAGGTTTTTTTATTGCAGAAATGATGAAAAAGATCCTTAACAAAATATTGATTCTTAATTCATTAAGTAAGATTTTTATTACACAAAGGATAAAAGATGGAGATCAAAGGTTACATTGATAAAGCATTTTGGGTCTCTCTTGGCTTTTATTAGATTTTCCTTTTTCCTAGGTAAAAGATGTTCTTTGATCATCTGTAATGTTAAGGTCTGTGCTGCCAAACAAAGAAAGCAGTATAAATAATTTCCAGAATTTTGTCATAGCTGGGAATTTCTCTTCCTCTCAGCTGGGGAGGATATTTTTTTAATAGCAGATTGAAATTACTGACCTGGAATTTAGGTACATGATTCTTGCTACAAACAAATATAGATTAAATATTTTCTTTTTCTTAACTGGGTCTTTAAAAAAAAAATATTTTGTCTTTATCTTATAATTCCTGTTTAAATATTGTTGGCCATATGAACTGTGTGATAGAGTATCCCCTGATGCCCTTTTGATTGTTCTAGTGTCACCACATACCCAAGGGACAACTGTGTATATCTTATTATTACAAATAAGAACTGGAATGAATACTTATTTCAGTAACACAAGTATGTAAAAAAATAAAAATGATTAGAGATTATATGAGCAGATTGTGAATACTGTTAAGCATATGTAATTTAAATGAGCAAATAGGAATCTTCATTGTTAGCATTACGAAAATTTGAAGAAATAATAACTTCCAGAAGCATAGTTATACTGGAACTTATGCTGCATTTATGGCTATTTTTCTTTTATGTCTCATAAAATATGCATCATGCAATCAGTATGATATCAAGATATATTCACTGAGGTGAAAAAAATAGAGAAAACTCATCTGTATGCTCAGAAAAGTAGATGAGAAGAACAGAATTTGAAGGTGCCCACAAATAAGTTATTAATACTGTAAATAATGTTTACTACTAAGTCAAATCAGCTGTGAGTTTAAGGCATTTAAGTTTTCTTATTTCTATGTGATTTATTTACTCACTGAGCTGTAAATTTTGATGCAAAGAGTCTGTTAGAAAATGCTTAATCACCAAATCCTAAACTTCTTAGAAAAAAAAATTGTCAGAAAAAGATTCTGACTTACTTAGGGTTTAACTGAACACTTCACATTTCTAACCATCTATCTATAGAGTCAGCATCTTTGGCTATACTTAGATTGTGAAATAAAACCAAGCCAGGGCCTGTCCTCTGGCCTAGGGCTATGTGTGGTGGGTCAGTGCATATCCATAAGACAAAACTCTTCTCCTTCAAAAGATGGGGCCATGCCCAAACAGCCTATGGGAAATTATGATTGACATGTGACCTGAATGATATCCAGGTAATATCTGCATGAGTGCTAGCTGGCATGAGCCTAGAAAGTACAAGGATGTGTTCTAACTGTCAAGAAAATATGGAGATTCCCAGAGAAAATCCAAACCCTTCTTTTATTTACAAATTAAGACATTTGTCTCTAGCCTAGTTTAGGTTTAATCTTTATAGAGGTAGGTTACGAGAAGCTCATTCAAATAGCACAGGTGTTCTGAGTTTAGATAGCACACAAGAGAGTATAGTGAAGACCTATGCCTCCTTTGTTCCTGCAAGCCAGGTGTGTACACTAATAAGGGAAGGAGGCCATAGGCTTCTGTTTTTCATCTGTTTTCCCTCTACAAGACACTTTAAAAAGTTCTTGGAATTCTTTTGTTCATTTTCTTCTATTCCAATGTACATCATAAAAAACAAATGTCAAAATGTAATTTACTTTTTTTTTTTCCAAGTGGAATTCATGTTTTCTAGCCAGCCTTACATCCAACTGCCATGATTAAAACCAAAAAGAGCAAGAAATGCCATCTTCTGTGTGACAGAAATATCTGCATTCACTTTAATGGGGTGAGGAATAAACCTCTAGAATAGGTAGACAGAATATAGCATGCAACCTGTGTATGTTTGTCTTGTTTGAAACTCCTGTTCTGAAAATACAAATATTTTAAGAAGAACTTATTTTAAATAGACAGGAAAAAGGAGAATAGTTACAGTAATATTTTGATAGATTCCACCATTTTAAAGTATATCTCTTCCAAAAAAGATGGGTCAGTGAGATGAGGACTGTGGGAAGGTACATCCTGAAATTTTCAGCTGGCCTATTTCAGAGATTGCATGTTGGAGTAAGTCCATTTTACATGTACATGTAAAAAACAATCATTACTTTATCTAAGTCTAGTAAATAATCTCCTTGAGATACGTTTTTGCATTTGTAGATTTATTGCTTTATGGACTTAATAGAATGAGAGGTGTTTTTTCACAATTGTTATGGTGAAAGAAGGAAACAGAAAGCATCAGTAAAGTGTGACTGGGCATTACTGCTTTCTTGTCCTTGTACACCTATGCAGTTAGTACCTCTAGAGCTACTGTTATAAGGTACATTTTCCTTACATTTTTAATGGGTTGCTACTTTATCTATCTAGTTCAACATCTGTGGCAGATGGATTGCAGATTGTATGCTTGCCTTGTTTTAGTGGGCGAGTGGAAAAACATTGAAAAATCTTCTGCTAGTATTCATGCTGTTACATGAATATGAGGTTTACATATACCATTTCAGTTGTCAACATTTATTGCCTGTAGGTAGAACTGAGTAATAATAATAATAATAAAAAAAAAAAAAAAAAAAAAAAAAAAAAAAAAAAAAAAAAAGACCAATTTCTGTGAGGAGTTTGCCTATTTCCTGTTTTAAGCATTATTTTTACTGAATGTATCTGTCTTAAGAGGAATAGTAAAGATATTTTTAAAGACTAAAGGCAGGAATTCCCAGATTTTTCCAATCACTGTGGCAGTCCCAAAGTGGAAGTTTTTTGAAGTCCCCAGTATTACTGTGAAAATCCCCAAGACAAAGCTACTAAAAGAAACAAAAATGTGATAATAGGTATAAGTGCTTGAAGTAGAGAAAAGAGTAAAACTGTGCCCTCCATAGATAGAAGGTACTGCAGGGCTCCGGGACTCAACAGAAGCTGGGATCTTGCAAGCCCTGCTTACAGATACCTTTCCTCTGTGAGGAGCTACAGCTTCATACATAGGATCATAGAACATTTAGGTTTGAAAAGACACTTAGGATCAGGTCCAACCATAACACTGCAAAATCCACCACCGAACCATCTCCCAAAGTGTCACATTTACACATCTTTTAAATACCTCCAGGGATGGTGCCTCAACCTCTTCCCTGGGCAGTCTGTTCCAGTGCTTGATAACCCTTTCAATGAAGAAATCTTTCCTAATATCCATCTAAACCTCCTCTGGTGATGTTCAGGCTGTTTTCTTTTGTCCTGTCAATTGTTACTTGGGAGAAGAGGCTGATACTCACCTGGCTACAGCCTCCTTTTAAGCAGTTATAGCGAATGATAAGGTCTCCCCTGAGCCTCCTTTTCTCCAGGCTAAACAACCCCAGTTCCCTCAGCCACTTCTCATAGGACTTCCTCTCTAAATACTTCACCAGCTTAATTTAATTTATTACATGCTATGTAATATTTCTTAGAATTAATTTTGCTGTATTTTGCAGTTTCTTTAGTGATTAAGCTTGCTTCTCATCATTCACTATTGGACTTGGACAAAGACAAGAGTGGGTTGAATCAGGCAAGTGACTGAAAACCAAGTATAGTACTTGGCAATTTATTTGGACTGTAAGTAACTGCATATTAGGATAGCTGAGGCCATAAAAAACCTTGGAAGCTAAGAAATAATGTCCTAAGTAGTATGGCATGAGACAAACATGCATTAAGTACAGATTAAAGAAGTGTCTCTTCAGTTTTGTTTTGTGCTGATGTGAGAGCAGTCATCTTTTGACAAACACCTTGAACCCACATGAATATTTAATGTAAAATGAAGTGTGAAGTTGATATTCCACAATCTGTATTTGTATTTCTCTATTTGTAGATTAGAGAAGGCTTCAGGGGTTTGTAACTTCATTTGTACCATGTCAACATATAAATATGAGTAAAGCTGGTGAAATATTTAAACAGGAAAAAAAAAAAATTATTTTTTTTTTTTTAAATGTCATAAGGGCTGGTGGTTCTGTGGTTGTGATGTCTGATGTGTACCATTTTTTCTTGGTAAAATAGAAGGGTAATAAATGCCATCTGTTTTATGACTGTTCATTGAATATTTTGATATTGTCATTGAATATTGCTATTTTTAGAAGAAAAATATTGATAGGGTCAAAGAACTATGATTTAGAAAAGATAGAGTCACATCTAATTCACCCTGCTTGTTTATGCCTACATACTTCCCAGTGTTTGCTTATGGTTGCCTAAACATTGCATGTGAATGAGTGCATGTATGTTTCAAGAACATTTAGTTCTTATTTCATTAAGATTAAATTCTTCAGCAATATCACATGGTGGAGCTCTGACAAATGTAGAAAGAGAACCCAGTGTCATGATTTTTGAACTAGACCTTGAACCTGTGGAAACAATGGAAGTTTAGTAGTTTGGGATCAGATCCCCAATACTAAACACCAGTATCTGTAGTCTTTGGGGTCTTCTCCTTGCCAAAAGCACACACCGTGTTCCGTCCAAGATCTCCCAGTCTGTTCACTGCTCCTGTCCCTGACTTCCTGCCACATGCTGCTGCCAGAGACTGAGGGTGCTGAGTTGTTCTCCAAGAAAGGGCAGTGTCTGCTTTTCTCCTGAGCCTTCATCTTAAGCAGAAAAATCAAACAACAAAGTTTCATCTTCACTGTCCATACTCAAAAGATACACTGAATAGTCTAGTAAACCCTGCACAAAAAATTCAAATAATTCTACCATAGCTCACATGAGAATTTTCTGTTTATAGATATTCTGTTGACATACAAAAATGTTTTTCTTTGAGCTGACGTAAAAAAGAAAACATACATTATAAGTGTAGATCATAATTTATAAGCACACTGCTTAATTAATGTATCAGTGTTTATTTTGTCTTTAAGCAAATTTCTATAATCACTGATTCTTTTTTCTTCTGTCTCCTATTCTGTCTTTTGGATTTTTTATTTATTTATTTATTTTGCCTTGCAGAGCTTATCTTATTCCTCCTAAATCTCAAAAATGTTAAGTTCATTTCATTCATCAGTTTTGGCTAAAGTAGCTGCTTCTGAATCTCTTCTGGTCTCCTTGACAACATGGTTCCCACTTCTTATTAACTTTCTTATATTCTGCAGGAAAAACTCTAATAGAATTTTAAATCCTGTATGATGAAAAGTAGTAGGAGAGCTTTGTTAAATACTGGGCAATAAATAGTTTACAAGTGCACTAACTTTTATAGTCTTGTTTTCTTCTGCCATAAACATTTAACAAAGAGAGCAGAATAATTGTGTTTGAGCTGTAAATCTTTATCAGGGATAGTAAATGGCACTCTAGTAGGTGTCTGTGTTCTTAAGAGCCCATCAAACTCATGCAGGTATGTACCTTAATGTTGATAATAATTTTTTATGTTCTTCTCTTACTTAAGATTAATGATGTGCAATTGTTTAGGAGGAATGATAACTTTCCAGTTTCCTAATGCTTTTTTTTTTTCATAAATTCTAGTGATCTGGGTTTATACTTTAGATTAGAACATTACAGTACAGAATGATAGGTTGTAAACTTACTTTATTTATCTAATTTGTGTTTTCTAGATCAAGCTAATGCCTCCAGCTCCAAATGATGACCTGGCTTCTCTGAGCGAGCTAACAGACAGCAGCCTGCTTTATGAGATTCAGAAGCGTTTCAATAATAATCAGATATATGTAAGTTGCTATTGACCTGTCAGCAGTAAGCTTTCAAAAAAGAGCAAATAAGAGAATAGAAAAATATAATTACTATCATAACCACTGGACAGTAACCTGTCCCGGACCCATCACTAGTATTTAAATGGATCAGGACATACGTTTGTGTAAGCCTTGCAATTTCTCAAGTTTATATAGGAAAAGCAGAAAGAAAAAATGGAATAACACTTCAGATAGGTTTGGATACAATTTATGTTTGTTTATTTCACAGAGGAAGAGTATTGGTATAGAGCACATGATTACTTGGAATTTAAAATAAATTTAGATTTTAAAAGCTTAGAATTCAGCATGGGAGATTTAATTAATCATTATCTCCTCCTATATATACAAAAGTAATTCTCTATATTATAATGTTAATCATGTAGATACCAAATTAAATAATTATAGCAAGATTTTTGTAAAGCAGATTTTTCTGATTATGCCATAATAAATCTGGGAGGTATCCAGTTAGGCATAGATTACTTCTGGAGAAAAATCTGCACTTGAAAATTGTTGTATCCCTGCTCATATCTTATTCATAACTTATTTCTAACTTACTGAACAGCTGAGTGGCATGTTAATGTGAAACATGCAAATTGTTTTTAAAAGTATGAGTTGATTGCACTGTTTAGACTAAAGGAATATTGGGAATTGGCATGTTGCTGTGAATACCTTCGAGATTATAGGAAATTCAATTCTAGTGTTACAACATTCAATGATAATAAAATTCTGTGTTTTAGAATCATGGATCAAATCTTATTTTATTATGAGTATTACTTTTGCTTCATCTCACTTTCACAGATGTCAAACACAGATAACTTTAACTGAACTCAGGAGGATCCACAGATACTTAGTATTTATAAAAAGGAAGTATTTTATTTTAAAATACTGAAGAGTTCACCTGAGAGGATCTCATACTCTCCTCTGGCATTCTCCTTAGTTTAGTGGAAATTTATGGGTAGCAATCATTAATATTCTGCTCAACAGCAGCCATTGAGCTTTGGTAGAATGTCAGCATTGCACCTTGGGGTGATTTGGTTCTCAAAGGTCCTTGGACTCCAATTCCAAACCCAGATCCTCATTAGTGCTGAACACTTCCTGTTTAATGTTTTGTGAAGCTTAATAAACTTCCATTCTTCAGGAAAACCCAACAGTGAAGTTGAGGTGGGTGGGAGAGAGGAAATAAATTCCTGCATTTCAGAAGAAAAAAGTACATTTGCTATGAAAGGCAATATTTTCTGCCTCCTCAAAACACAATACATCATTTTGAAAAAGCAACATGACTGGGACTGTTTACATGATGGTTTGCTGTCTGACCTCTTCAGAGACAAGGGTCTGGCATTTTTGCATTCCAAGAGTGTAATACAGCAGCAGGTACTTATGTAGAGTGAGAAGTATAACCGCAAGGGTGACCTACAATCTTATACTTCAGTCTATCTTTCATATATGAGTGTTTAAATATGAAATTATAAAATCTTGGCACCTTTGCAATCAGTGGATGGTTTGCTATTTTTAATATAGCCGGATTTTTTTCCTATATGCATGTACATATGTTCGTATACATATACACATGCACAGATACTTATATATGTATCAATTGCTCTGTCTTATCCCACAAGCAACATATTGTAATGTATCTGTTACGGGTAATCAATAGAGCATTTCTAAATTATGTCATCTATCCCATAAAAAATTGTTTGAGGAACTTGTTTATGTGGTAGGCATGTCACATTTATTGTAGTTTAACAAGTGGTAAATTACAAATTAACTTTCAAATAATCTACCAATAATAAATGCAGTGCAATTCTTCTACACATAATTTTCCATTATGAAGAACTCGGTTTTATTACAAAAAGAATAATTAATGCTTTCTGAATTGCAAATTTAGTTCTCAATTTAAAGTTAAGAAGTTAAAAGCGTTGAATTTGCAAATTATGTTTAATATGTTGATAGCTAGATTTAAGAAGCTTTGCCAAAAGTCCTTTCTGGAAGAAAGCCATTAGCCTCCTTAAAGATTTAATTTATTGCTTAATCAAGCAATTATATCTTCTTTTTTCAGACCTACATTGGTGATATACTGTTGCTTGTTAACCCATTTAAAGAACTTCCTATTTATTCTACCATGGTAAGCATTCTTTCTTTAAAATGTGTCTTTTCAGTGGATTCATATAATTCATTTCACGGGCTAATTGACTAAGATTAATTAACATATATGCCCTTTTTTATGTTGGGAGCATCTTATTTTCAATATTTTAGAAAATTTTTAAAAAAATCTTCAGATACCACTATTTTTGCTGTGTCTTATTTGTAAAACAGCCATCTTGCTAATATTTTGTGTAAGCAGTAGCACTTTCAATTGTTTAAAAGTAATTCCTGATGTATAACATGACCTTGATGGTTTCAGCCACAGTCAGACTTGCAAAAATAGACACATACTTCATACAGTGGTTGTGTGAGTTTACACCCCCCTTGCCCAAAACATGATGATGGAGATCACAACCTTAAATGGTGCAGAAAGGCTCAAAATGGCTGCCTGTGCTGCACATCAGGCCACTCAGTCGGTCAGACACGGTACAGGCAATGAGGTCAAAGTGCTCAGCACTTAGCACTACACTGGGGCAGTTGTAGGGACGCAGCTTGTGTTGGGCACAGGCAGTGTGTGGGCAAATGGACTTGAGCGCATGTGCACACTGTCATGCACAAGGCCTCTTAAGAAGTGCTTCAGGTGTTTCTGTCTTGAATAGTAGTACACTTAGCTTTCTAAACTTCCACTTACGAGACAGACCAGTTATTTACAAGAGGTTTACCGTTTCAGTACCTAGACACTGATAGTAACTTAAGTGGACTTTGTAGATCAGTGTGAGCAACATAAATTCAAAGGATTTAATCTCTCCTTCATCCTCACTCAGCCATTTTAGAGACAGTGTTAAAGTAACTATTCATTTACTTCTCCCCTCCCTGTTATTTTCTTGTTGATGCACTGAGATCACATTACTGTACAGAGATCAGACTCCCTGTTGTGCTAGGGAGTGTTCAAATATGTTTATTTAGTTTCCAAGAATTATAAAGGGTTCAAAATTTGGTAATCAAATTGTAGTCTATGGCTGTTTGCTATGTCATGTAGCTTTGTGTGTATCACTAGTAAATATGAGAGAAAGAAATGCTGTGACATTCAGTGGGAGGAGCAGCAGATTCCAAGTTAGAAGTCTAAATTTAGTTTCTAGAAATGGAAATAATCCATCATTCCCAGGGTTTTAGATGATGGTATTTTTCCTGTCACTATGTATTTTACATTAGATACATGATTTTGTGCACCAGGAGAGAACTGTAAAGAAAAAGAATTTAGGTGGTGGCCTTACATATTAAAATGTTCCCTGAATGTTTGCTGCATCTTCTCTTGACCTGTCTGAGATAGATATATTTTAGCAAGTTTAGCATGAGACACTTCTTGTCCTGTAATTGTTTGGGTCTCCTGTAGTTGTTTGGGTCTCCTTGGATGATCTTTGCTTTTACTCCATCACTGTTATTTGCATGGTATTGTGCATTAGGCTGGTATTACACAGGTGATTAAAAAAACACGGTTTCAAATGAGGTTTATTTTCTCTGTTTTTGAAATGCTCAAATATGCTGTAGAAACTTAGATGGTATTATACTGAAGTCTGTAAGTGTTTGAAGGTCTGTATATGAAAGTAATAATTGATGATGTCAATTCCTGAGTAGACACTGACATGCTATAAGATGTGCCTCATTAGTTAGCATTTCTGTTTCAGGCATGTGGTTTGTTAGCTGTCAAAAAAAAAAAAAAAAAAAAAGAAAATGATGCTATTCTTAAAACCAGGATGAAACAAGGGAAAGGTTATTATGTACATTTTTCAATAACAGCAACACTGTAGGTTTTCTTGTCTTTTTTAGAAACACTTTTCATAACATCTCAGCAATCTTTATTTTGTTATCCTATACTGACTTCCCACACTTAATTCTAATAAAATAATTCTAAAATAAATTTTTTTATAAGCAAATATTCACTTTGAGATGACATAATCATACATTAATGGAGACTGATATACATTGCTTTGTATATAGTTGAATACAATTGCTAGATGATAATATTAATATGTTTTTACATGGAAATATGCTGTACTATACTATACTGTACATTACAGTAGCACTATACTACTAGGAACATGCAGATGCCACTTTGAAAGCATCATAGTAACTGTTTGTAGAAGTGCTTGTGGTACAGTCATCCTGCTTTGTTACATTTGTGCAGAATTTACTTGTGTCTGATTAGGGCAAATATGTTCCTGAAGTTCATGTGTTAGGAAAATATGTAAACTTGCAAAATGCAACATTATACAATGAGCATGTGTTTGAAAGTGTTTCTTTCTCCTTTGTGACATGCTGAAATGATTCCTTGAGAGCCAGTGTGGATTTTATCTTGTTTAATCTGGTAGCTTGAATGGCCAGAATGAGAATAGGGATGTATTGTGGAGGATTCATTCATGCACAGAGCTCTAGATGCCCCAAGATTCAACAGTTTAATGTCTAAATAATTAAGACAGGCATGGGACAAGAAAGGGCATAGGCATTATTAGTTTGGAGAAAGGAACAAATACAAAATCACACTGTGGTAGAAAGGCTGTTAGAGAAAATAGTTTGAGAAAAGAGGACATGATGGAAAGGAGGTGATTTAGTTGTTTAAGTGATAGTATTCCATATCATTCTAGATGCTTCCTAGTGTTCTAATTGTACCCTAGCTGCCGTGCATTTCTGTAAAGCCTTTGTTAATTTTCTAAACCCATGAGAAGGTCTGATAAAAGCTAAATTAAAAGGAATGTAAAATTATTTATTTAGGGATATTTGTAAAATGATATGGTGTTTCTGCTCACAATCTAAATCACATTCTGTATTTTCTTTATTATATTTATTCTGAAAGAAGAGAATTGTAGCAGACTATCTAATTTTTTGAAAATCTGCTTGATATTAGCTGAAAGAGCATCAGGATATCCTCAGAAATAAATGAGATTTCAGTAGTAGATAATTGGTTCTACTCATACTTAAGCTTTAAGTATAGTACGCCTTGCTAGCTATGTGTATCACGGAAGTTATTCTATATTATAGAGTATTTGTGGGAGACTACTCTGTCATGTAGTAAACTACTTAGTTTAGAACTTAAGCCTTTGATTTCAATTTCAACTCTTCATGGGAATATTTCATTTTGTAAGATTTTTAAGTGAAGACATTGAAGAACTATAAATATGAGGTATAACAAAGTAACTTACTAAGTTTTGTTTTAATCAATGCACAAACCAGTACTGTTGAGTCCTCTAGGTATGTTTAAATTTGTATCTTAATTAGGTCTTCAGTGCTTACAGCTCTGTTTTCTTTAGTTAAAATCTTCATAGATACTGTGGTGGTACCACATATACATACAGAGATTCTGTTCATGATGCTTAGAAAGCTTAAAAAAAACGACCCAGGATTAGGGAGGTGAAACATAATTACTTTGAAATGTATTGATCATGTTAATTTTCTACAATTTTTCAGGTCACCCAGCTTTATTTAAGTAACTCTGGAAAATTGTGTTCCTCACTTCCCCCACATATATTTTCCTGTGCTGAAAGAGCTTACCACATGCTATTCCAGGAGCAGCGTCCCCAGTGCTTTATCCTCAGGTGATAATTTATCTTTCTTTTAACTAACTTGTAACTCCTGCCTTTCAGCTGTTTCCCCCCAGGACTCAGCAGTTGAGATTTCCATTTTATTTTTGTCTGCAACTGATTCCTTTCTGTGTACTGATCTCTGTATCATACATTAGAGCAAAATAGAACAGAAAAAGGGTTAATTACATTTCAAGTTCATAAATTCTGTTGGGGAATTGCCACTCCATCTAGCTGCATCTAATTAAGAAGAAAGAGTTAATGGTAAAGAATTCAAACCTGCTGTGTGTGTTTGCTAATATTGCGTGGATAAGGGTTAGAAATAAAGTCTGATGACAATAAAAATGGGAAGTCCTTGACTAAATTATAAACCTCTGAGTTAGGGCACCTGAAGTGGAGATTCCACTCTGTCTTACATGTTTGTGTGGCCATGAGCTTTTTATTTAGCTCTCCAACTTCAAAATTGACTTTAACCAGTTCCTTTATTCACAGTGTTGTTTGAATGATAAATAACTTAAAGCTTGTGAATAAATGTATTAGAAATCTCCAGTGAAACAGAGTTTCATCCAAATATCCTGGTTTTATAATGATTAAACTTTCAATTCACTTGGACCTTTTAATCCCCAGATCTGTTGATTCCTTTTCTTCCTTCACCCTAAGTCAAAGAAATGGTTCTGGTGAAGGGCATTTCTTGTTCAGTCTTGTCACTGTGACAGTTATTGTTGGCTGAAATATTGGCAAGGGTTTGCAGAACTTGGGAGTTGGGGGAAATAAAAAGGTTGATTTTGATTTCAGCAGGGATAGAGGCTGATCCTTTTGATAAATCTTGTAATTGCTCTTGAACTACCTTTAATTATAAGAAAATTGAATACTAGGCAATAGAGAGGCTATGATACTCAAAAGCAGCTAATAATGCTGTTTTAAAGTTACAAGAGTTAAAATGAACACATACATACATTCATATATCCATTATGTGTCCATTTATATCACATTCTATTTATGTTGATACAGACTTGGGTATTTGAAGTTTATAAAAAAAGCATAATTTATAGGTTTCTAAATAATAGATTTATAAATTAATTATGTGTGGAACTGACTGTTGATTGGTTGAAATAAATAATAACCTTTTTATAACCTAATTTATAACCTACTTATTTATCCAATGAGCAGTGACATTTAAGGAGAGGTACAAGCAATATTAGAAAATCATTACTGTGTGTCCATATTATCTTCTTGTAAATATTAACACTTGTTTAGGTATAATAATTTTGATAAAGAAATATCCTAAAACACTGTTTTCATAATTTTCTTCAAAGTAGAAACTTGGGACACTTCTAATTGATTAATCTTTTTGAAGTTGCCTACAAGTCTAGACAGAGAAGAAGCAGAAAATAATATTTACTAACACTTCAAGAAAAAGGATAACTGCCATGTTAAATATTGTACAGTATTACACAAATAATATTGTACTTATTAATAAATGGCTTTGATATCAGGGAATAGTTGCTACTGATGATTTCATATCAGGATGTCAAGGCATGTGTTAAGCCCCACTGTCTTGATCTCTGCCCAGCCCACTGTAGCTTATTATATAGCAGTGACATGATGGAGAACATGACAAGAGAGTGCTCTGTTGATAGCATTAGCACTTGGCAAGACATTTGTGTATCACATCAAGGCAACCCATAGATATGCAGTCCTAAAGTTGTCAAAATGGAAGCTGAAAGGAAAGCATCTGGTAATTTGGAACAGGAGATAAGTATAGCTGCAACTTAACACAAACATCTAGAAACAGTTCTTTAAAAATATCTTTCTTCTGCTGGCACTAAGTGAGAAGACAGAAGGTAACGGAGGTCTTTTAGAAGTTCATAAAGAAGTATTAAAAATGGGGTATTCTCATTATATTAGTCCATTTGTAGAACCTAAATAATTAATGTCTGGAAAGTAAAGATAATATAGGAAATTTCCATTGTTTTTCTGACAATAATAATAATAGTCTGAAAATTATCCATGATGTAACTCAAGTTACTCATCTGTCACCTGATATGTATGTGTGCATTAATGTGTGTGGTCAGAATAGATTTCTTCTTTCTTGCTATTTCAGCTGTAAAACAACACGAGCTATCAGCAAGAGAAGGTTCTTCCACCACTGTAAGGGATTGTTCATTGGTTACATCTATGGTAATAAACAGCATGGAGCAGGGCTTATTTTCTGGCCTTGAGGACATGTGGTATAGCATGCAGTCACTTTTTCCTTGATTTTTCACTTGAAGAGGGGTCTGTGGAGAAGTTTTCACAATCCCAGTTTCATTTCCTATCAGAACCAAGTAACTGCAGTTCTGCAGTTCTGAAAAACTCAAATTTTCTGTTTTAATTTGTCTTCTCCGGCCTCTCTTATGCATACTCTTCATTCTTGAGTAAGCAATTCTGTACATGTTTGGTCTGTGGTCAGTGATTTTAAAATACCTTCAGTTATATAGCTGAGTTGTGGACACATTTCTGTGCATACATGTGTGGTGCCATGAGTGCACCTAGTAACATATTTTAGAAGTAAAATAATACACTTCCCTCTAATGTGGAATCACAAGCTGAATGAAGATGGGGGAGCTCAGAGAAGCTCTCCATAGCTAGAAAGGCCATTTCATATAAGTGCTCAAAAGGAAGGAGATAGTGGATGAACAAATGAAAAGGACACATAGATCCTTAAGAACATTACACTGGAATAAGCTGGCTAAGAGTGCTTCTGCCCTTCTACCTTTGGCTGTTCATTTCCTCATTTCCACACCATCCTTTGTTTTCACAGACTCACAGAATCATCTAGGTTGGAAAGGACCCTGGAGATCATCTAGTCCAACCATTCACCTAGCACAGTTCCCAACTACAGCATATCCTTAAGCTCTAAATCGACCCTACTCTTGAACACCTCCAGGGATGGGAACTCCACAACCATCCTGGGCAGCCCATTCTAACGCCTCACAACCTGTTCTGTAAAGAAATGCTTCCTAATATCTAGTCTTAACTTTCCCTGGCACAACTTGAGGCCATTGCCTCTTATCCTGTCACTTTCTACTAGGCTAAAGAGGCTCATCCCCAGCTCTCTGCAACCTCCTTTCAGGTGGTTGTAGATGGTGATGAGGTCTCCCTTCAGCCTCCTCTTCTCCAGACTAAACACCCCCAGTTCCCTCAGCCGCTCCTCGTACGACCTGTGCTCCAGACCCTGCACCAGCTCCGTTGCCCTTCTCTGGACACTCTCGAGTCATTCAATGTCCTTTTTGTAGTGAGGGGCCCAAAACTGAGCACAGGAATCGAGAGGCGGCCTCACCAGTGCCGAATACAGGGGTCAGATCCCTTCCCTGTCCCTGCTGGCCACGCTATTGCTGACACAAGCCAGGATGCCATTGGCCTTCTTGGCCCCCTGGGCACACTGCTGGCTCCTGTTCAGCCGGCTGTCAATCAACACTCCAGGTCCCTCTATGATTGGCAACTTTCCAGCCACTCCTCCCCAAGCCTGTAGCGCTGCTGGGGGTTGTTGTGGCCCAAGGGCAGCCCCCGGCATTTGGCCTTATGGAAACTCCTCCAGTTGGGCTCAGCCCATGGCTCCAGCCTGTCCAGGTCTCTCTGCAGAGCCTCCCTACCCTCGAGCACATCAACACTCCCACCCAACTTGGTGTCATCTGCAAACTGACTGAGGGTGCACTCGAACAGGAGTGGTCCCAACACTGAGCCCTGGGTGACACCACTCGTGACCGGCTGCCAGCTGGATTTAACTCCCTTTACCACAACTCCTTGGGCCCGGTCATCCAGCCAGTTTTTTACCCAGCGAAGTGTGCGATTGTCCAAACCTTGAGCAGTCATTTTTGCTAGGAGAATGCTGTGGGAAACGGTGTCAAAAGCCTTGCTAAAGTCAAGGTAAATTACATCCACAGCCTTTACCCTCATCCAGTAAGCAGGTCACTCTGTCATAGAAGGAGTTCAGGTTTGTCAGGCAGGACCTGACTTTCATAAACCCATGCGGACTAGGCCTGAGCATCTGGTTGTCCCTCATGTGTTGCATGATGGTGTTTAGGATGAGCTGCTCCATCAGCTTCCCGGGCACCGATGTCAGGCTGACAGGCCTGTAATTTCTGGGATCATCCTTCCGACCCTTCTTATAGATGGGCATCACACTGGCCAATTTCCAATCAGTCGGGACCTCCCTGGTCAGCCAGGACTGCTGGTAAATGATGGAAAGCGGCTTGGTGAGCACTCAGCCAGCTCCTTCAGCACCCTTGGGTGTATCCCATCTGGTCCCATAGATGTGTGCATGTCTATGTGATGCAGCAGGTCACTGACTGTCTCCTGGATTGCAGGGGGGTTGTTCTCCCAGTCTCTGTATTCTGTCTGAGGAGGCTGGATTCCCTCAATACAACTAACCTTGTTATTAAAGACTGAGGCAAAGAAGGCATTAAGCACCTCAGCCTTCTCCTTGTCACTTGTTACCAAATTTACTCCTGCATCTAGCAGGGGATAGAGACTCTCCCTGGACTTTTTTTGCTACTGACATACTTATAGAAACTTTTCCTGTTATCCTTGATTGCAGAGGCCAAATTAATTTCCAGTTGGGCTTTAGCCCTTCTGATTTCCACCCTGCGTAGCCTCACAGCCTCTCTGTAATTAATGTGTGTGGCTAGCCCCTTCATCCAAAGGCTGTAAACTCTCCTTTTCTCCCTGAGTTGCAGCCAAAGCTCCCTGTTCAGCCAGGGTGGTCTTCTCTGGCATCGGCTTCTCTTAGAGCACCTGGGGACTGCCTGCACCTGACCCATTAACACTTCCTTCTTAAAGAGCGCCCAGCCTTCCTGGGTCCCTATACCCTTCAGGAGAGTCTCCCAGGGGATCCTTTCAAGCAGGTGCCTAAACAAGTCAAAGTCAGCCCTTCTGAAGTCCAGGATGTCAGTCCTGCTTAGCTCTCTCCTGACCTCTCTAAGAATAGAGAAACTGCTATTTCACGTTCGCTGTGCCCTAGTTGGCCTCCAACC